AATTTAATGAGTACATCTTACCAAGAAATCCAATTTACAATTTAAAATATACCAACTAACTAATTCTTAACAAGAATTAAATCTACTACTTCAAATATTCCATATCAAGCAATAATTTATATAAATGATTAAAAATAGCTGCTGCCACTACCAAAAGTTTCTCAATTCATTCGCCATTTCAATTTATAGTCCAATTGAAATGGTACAGTTAAGGTTTCCTTCATAACATACCAAGAACTCAACCAACGACCACAAGTACCAACTATCATACTAACGAATCATCATTTCCTTACAAAAATTCATAATAGATTCAATAATCTAGCTATTCTATATATGAATTCAATTTATAGATTCATAAATAGATTTCAATAATCTAGCTATTGCTATATATGATTCAATTTATAGCTTCCATTTTAATATATATATATTTATTTTATTTTTCTTTTTAAAATGCTAAAAATTTTCCTAGTTAATCTTCATAACATTTAGCTAAAGAATCTATTTCTATAATCAAACTCTGCTATTCAGAAGAGATCAAAATTATGAAATGTATGAAATAGAGGTTGAAAAATAATTTATCCCGCTAGGTCGAAATGTTCTTGGAAAAGAAAGCAGATAGCGCGGACTGGGAAAATAATTTACCCGACTAGTCGAAAATTTGAAAAGAAAGCAGATAGCGCGACTGTACCTATTGCGAGCAGCTCCTGGGTTTGCTGCGCCAGCCGGAACAGGAAGGGGAGAGTGAAGAAGAGAACGAAGCTTCTTCACCGACAAGAGAGAAATCGACGCCGCCGGAAAATCAAGCGGGAGGAGGCTCGACGCGATTTTCCGGTCGAAGGATGTCGCGGCTCTCCTGCAACTTCTGCGCATGCTAGAGACGAAAGAGAGATGAGAAGGTAGGCCGGAATCTACTGTGGCGTGGAGGCGACGGCAAGGCATGGCGCTGGTCTCCGGTGATCGAAAAACGAGAGGAGGAGACGGCCAGGCGAGGTCGCGCTGGAGGAAGAAGAAGAAAGGAGAGAAAAAAGGAAAGAAAGAAAGTAAGAAAAGTCGGTTTTCTAGCAAAATTCTAAGTGCCATTCCGGTTTCGATTCAAAATGGTTTGGTCTTAATTTGATGATTTTGGCTTGATTTTTGCTTGATTCCTCCCTACGGCCTCGGATTTTTCCACTGGTTCTCAAGTTATTCGTGGTTTTCGAAATCAATTTCCATTTCGGGTTCGGTTCCGATTTATTTTAATTATTTAGTTGGTGTCCATTATATTTTCTTCCATTTTTACTCAATATTAATAATAAAAATATTAATAGTAACAATATTTGGTTTTTGGATAATTAATTTATATATATTCATAATAAGTTAAATTAAGGGGTTTCGTGTTATTTCTCAAAAATTTTAATCGTTCTCAAATTGACAATTCCGATGATATATTTGGGCTTAGGCCCAACTCACAAACTTGGGCTCGAATTGAGATTGTTTGGTATTTATAGCTCATATAGTTGAAAAGCGAGATTTTTGATTTAATAAAAATTCGAAAGTTTTGAAAATAAAAATTCGGGGTATTTCAATACTAAATAAGTAACACATTAATATTTCAAATAAATATACAATCATTTATAATAAATCATAAACATAAAATAAAAAATACTAAATTTCTTATTATAGTGACACAAAAATAAATTAAAAAAATACTTCATTTTTATTGATAATAAAAAAAAACTTTAGTTGATTAACTTGGTGTATTGAGTAGCCTCATATATCAGTACACTAAATAAGTAATACATCTATATTTCAAATAAGTATACAATCATTTATAATAAATCATAAACATAAAATAAAAAAATACTAAATTTCTTATTTTAATGACACAAAAATAAATTAAAAAAATACTTCATTTTTATTGATAATAAAAAAAAAACCTTGGTTGATTAACTTGATGTATTGATTAGTCTCATATATCAGAAACTAGGTTGCATGACATAGACACGAGATAAGGAAAATGCACGCGATAAGAAATTTTGAAAAAAGCAGGAACAACAAACTTAGGAGACATTCACTAAATAAGTATAATAAATTAATATTTCAAAAATAAATTAATATTTCAAATAAATAAATAATCATTTGTAATAAATCATAAACATAAAATAAAAAAAAACACTAAATTTCTTATTTCAGTGATACAAAAAAATTAAAAAAAAACACTTCATTTTTATTGGTAAATAAAAAAACATTTGGTTGATTAGCATGATTTATTGAATAGTCTCATGTACTAGGAGTTTAGTTGTATGAATATGGGACACCAGATACGAAAATGTACGGATAAGAAATTTTTTAAAAAATAGGACATTAGCACACTTAGAACACACTACATTAAATAAGTATAACCATTCATATTTCAAATAAATAAACAATCACTTATAACAAATAATAAAGAAACACTAAATTTCTTATTTCAATGACATAAAAATAAATTAAAAAAAACACTTCATTTTTATTGGTAATAAAAAAAATCTTGGTCGATTAGCTTGGTGTATTTAGTAGTCTCATATGTCAGGAGCTAGGTTGTATGGACATGGGATACGAGATACGAAAATGTACACGATAAGAAATTTTTTAAAAAGTAGGACATCCACATGTTTAGGACACACTACACTAAATAAGTATAATACATATATTTCAAATAAATAAACAATCATTATAATAAATCATAAACATAAAATAAAAAACATTAAATTTCTTATTTCAATGACACAAAAATAAGTTTCAAAAAAACACTTCATTTTTGTTGGTAAAAAAAAAAAAAAACTTTGGTTGATTAGGTTGGTGTATTGAGTAATCTCATATATTAGGACTTAGGTTGCATGGACACATCACATGAGATACGGAAATGTATGCGATACGATAATTTTTTAAAAAATAAGACATCCACACGCTTAGGACACACTACACTAAATAAGTACAATACATTAATATTTTAAATAAATAAGTATCATTTATAATAAATCATAAATAAAAAAAACACTAAATTTCTTATTTCAATGACAGAAAAACAAGTTTAAAAAAAGATATTTAATTTTTATTGGTAAAAGAAAACTTTGGTTGATTAGGTCGGTGTATTGAGTAGTTTCATATACTAAAAGCTAGGCTACACGACACAGCACATGAGATACGGAAACGCACGCGATACAATAATTTTTAAAAAAGTAGGACATCTACATGCTTAGGACACACTACACTAAATAAGTATAATGCATTAATATTTCAAACAAATAATTAATTATTTATGATAAATTATAAACATAAAATAAAAAAAAGGCTAAATTTCTTATTTGAATGACAAAAAAAAAAAAAAAAAAAAAAAAAAAAAAAAAAAAACAAAAAAAAAAAAAAAAAAAAAAAACACTTCATTTTGTATTGGTAATAAAAAAAACCTTGACTAATTAGCTTGGTGTATTGAATAATTTCATATGACAGGAGTTAGATTGCACGGACTTAGGACATGAGACACAGGAATGTATGAGATATGATAATTTTTAAAAAAGATAAGATATCTACACGCTTAGCACACAGTACACTAAATAAGTAATATATTAATATTTCAAATAAATAAAAAATTATTTATAATAAATCATAAACATGAGATAAAAAAACACTAAATTTCTTATTTTAGTGGCACAAAAACAAAAAAAACAAAAAACTTCATTTTTATTGGTAATAAAACAAAATCTTGGTTGATTAGCCTGATGTGTTTAATAGTCTCATGTATCAGGAGCTACATTGTACGGACACATCACATGAGATACGGAAACGTACGCGATAAGAAATTTTTTAAAAAAAGTAGGACTTCCACACACTTAGAACACACTATGCCATATAAGTATAATACATTAATGTTTCAAATAAATAAACAATCATTTATAATAAATCATAAACATAAAAAATTAATTTCTTATTTCAATTATATAAAAACAAATTTGAAAAAAAAAAACACTTCATTTTTTATTGGTAATAAAAGAAAAACCTTAGTTGATTAGCCTGGTGGATTGATTAGTCTTATATAACAGGAATTACGTTGTACGGATACTGGACACGAGATATAGAAACGTACAAAATACAACAATTTTTAAAAATGTAGGATATTCACACGCTTATGACACATTGCACTAAATAAGTATAATACATTAATATTTCAAATAAATAAACAATCATTTATAATAAATCATGAAGATAAAATATATTCGATTTCTTTTTTCAATGACACAAAACAAATTTAGAAAAAAACACTTTATTTTTTATTGGTAATAAGAAAAAACATTATTCATTAGCTTAGTGTATGAAGTAGTCTCATATACAAAAAGCTAGATTGCATGGACAAGGGATATAAGATACGGAAATATACGGGATACAACAATTTTTCAAAAAGGTAGAACATCCATACACTTAGGATATACTACACTAAATAAGTGATACAATAATATTTTAAATAAATAACAATCATTTATGATAAATTATAAATATAAAATAAAAAAAATACTTAATTTCTCATTTCAATGATACAAAAATAAATTAAAAAAAAAAAACATTTCATTTTTTATTGGTAATAAAAAGAAACCTTGCTTGATTAGCTTAGTGTATGGAGTAGTCTCATATACCAAGAATTAGGTTGCATGGACACGGTCTATGAGATATAGAAACGTACACGATACGGTAATTTTTTAAAAAATAGGGCATCCTCATGCTTATGATACACTACACTAAATAAATAATACATTAATATTTTAAGTAAATAAATAATCATGTTCTGAGAACCAGACTGGTCATTGAACCAATAAAGGCAGGGATTCATTGAACTGGAGGGTTCAACCGGATTCAATACGGTTCAATCAGATTTTTTATATATAATATTTTTAAAGATATTTTTTAAAATACAATTAAAAATAGGATGTATAATGAAACAACCAAAATTTTTGTTTTCAAAAATTTTTCATTTAAATTTAATAAACCGACACTGTGGAAAATTTATTTAATTAGTTAATGCACATCAAAAATTGTATAGTGTTAAACCGATCATAAAAACCGGCTGAAAAATTCAAAAACCAATTGAAAACCATGATTTGGACCGAACCAAACCTGAATTGAACCAAACCAGCCCAACTCACCCAAACCACTTCTAGAACCCCCGTTCCCCTTATTTCCAGCGTCCACCTCCCACTTCCCCCACCCCCCCGGTTTGTGCGTTTTCCGATCACCGGCAACCTCCCCTGCCGCCGCCGTTCCTCCCTTTCTTCTTCTTCTTTTCTTTCTTTTCTTTTCTTTTCTTTCTTTCTTCACCTGCGTCTGCATTTCTGGCGAGAGACAGAACAGCAGAGTCGCGCCACCCACTCCATCGCGCGCCACCGCCGCTCCTCGCTGCAGCTCAACGTCGCAGCAGCTCACCGTTCCGCCCCTCTCTCCTTTCGAACCAAGCGGAGACAGTAGCTTAGAGAGGACTGCATCGCGCCACCACCTGCTCCACCACCAGATCGCACCATCGCGGCTACACAGCTCTTCCATTGCTTCAGCGTGTCTCCAGCCACCAAGAACGAGCGCAGCACCACCGCACAGTCGCGCCACCACCCCCCTGCTGTCCAGTTAAATCGCGCCACCTGCTCGCGGTTCCGGTGAGCGCAGCGACCTGTTTTGGTCGATTTAACGCCACTGCTCTCACCTTCTCTTCGTTCCGGCACGTGTAGCTCCCATTTCCGGTCAAACAAATTCCGGCAGCAATATATTGGGTATAAAAATTTAATTTTGGACTATTTTTAGAATTTTTTTTTTTAGTATTTGTGGTTAGCTAAATTAATGTTTGCATTGATTATATTTTGGCATATATTTCATTAGTGTTGATTTAATTAAGGAACCTTGATAATGATAAATTAATAGAATTAAAGTGTGGATTAAACTAGTTTAGGTGCAATGTTACTGTAATTATAAAATTATTGTTGTGATTGGAGGAGGATGGGAAATTTGACTTGATTGATTGGCCGACGGATGGCGGTGTGGATTGGATAAATATTTGATAAATTGTTGATATTTTATCAGGTGGATAGTCCAATTTTTAGGGGAGATGCTATCAAAATTTCGGTAGAAACTAGTTTAATTTTTAGAAATTGAATACGTAAATAGTTTATTAGATCAACTTCTTGATTCCTTAATTTAATAAGTCCTTTGTCTGATATAAATTCTTTCTTTGTATTCTTAAATTTCTTAGATTGTACGGGCCCATCTATTGCTCCACCTGGTCAGAATCAGAGTTAGAGCTTCAACTTCCGCCACTGTGAGTAATAATAAATAATGTATATCGGTATTGCATTTGCATAGCATTTATATACCGTGTGTGTGTGTATATATATATATATATAATTTATATACCGTGTGTGTGTGTTATATATTAATATATATATATATATATAACAATTTTAATATAAAATTTTAATATTTATATATATAATTGTTTTAATAACATCAGTATATTTTATGCATATTTTATAAATATAATATGTTACTATATATTTACTATTGTGCATTGAGATGAACTTGTGTAATGTGTAAAGTGAATTGCTTGATTACTTGTGTTGTGAATTATTATGCATTGTATGTCTAGAGTTGGGATGAAGTGGGTCACCATGGGTTTGTGAGGGCGGTCTATAAGACCGTTGGCCGTATGGGAGATCGGCACCCCGTGTGCACCTGATTATATGATCTGGATGATATGGAAAATCACAGGGTGACCTTCTGTTAGTATGGAAAAGAAAAGAGAGAATGGAAAAATAACGAGAGGGTTGGTCAAGTGAGGATTAGACCGGTCGGCTAGGTATAAGGGATCGGCTCCCTGGTGCACACGTATGAGAGGGCGAGCCATGTGTGAGGATGACTCGTTGGGGTTTTAGGTGACGCCACTGACTAATTTCCACTTGCTTGATTACTTGAAGGTGACATTACTCGTGGGTGTTGGTGTTGTGCCATATGATTGACTGTAGTATGCTCACTTTAGAATATTAGGGTGCATTATGCGTGAATGTGTGTGATGTTATTCACTGAGTTGCAAAACTCACCCCCCTCTCTGTCCAAACTTCTCAAGTAATAGGAAGTTGCTGAACCGATTGAAACTCTGCAAGTTTTCCTTGCAGAGCTACAAAAGTAAATTTATAACTTTTTGTTATTATTAATATTAGCTAATTTGTGTTATTAAATATGTACACTGTTCTACTCCTAAATTATTGTTGAACTCCGCAGTCGTAGGATATTGTGTATTTTTTTATTTATTTGGATGATCTTATTGTTTAATTAAGTGCATGTGAACTGGTAGCCCATATTATGAATGTGACATAATGTGATTAGGCCCCGATTAAATTGTATTCAAGATAATTGAGACTGAGCCATGATTGTGAAAATTATTGTATATATATCCTAATTTATATGGGTGGGCTTACCGTTTCTAATAATTTGTGTGGTATGCACGAGTTGAAAGATAGGCCTACTACGGGTCTCGGGGGCTTTATGCTTACCTAGGCCCTAGTGTCGGTCTGGCCCATGGATTCGGATAGTGACATATAAACACTAAATAATCTTTAAAAAAGTAAAAATGTCAGTTTAACATTACTAAAAATTAATTAATTATCATAAAATATAATATTGCTTACTGACAATCCATATAATAAATTGAAATCCAATTTACTGAAATTATCAGTTTGATTGATGTGAAAAAAAAGATGCATTCTAAATAGGCATAGATAAAAGTTATTTTTGTTTAAAAATAATAATAATTTGAGAGAAATGAAAAAAAAAATTATATGAAAAGGAGGGTAAAATAAAATATGCTGCAAATTATTATTTATATAAAATATTATTAATTTAACTACCCAAATGTGCTTACATTTCTAGAGATTAAAAAACTAAATAATTTTTTTCTTTGAGTATTGAGGGAGGGGAATTTAAATCTGGATCAATTGCTGGATCATATATGCACTTACCATTAGACTGTGCCTTGGTGTGCAAAAACTAAATAAAATTTAGACTATTGAAATTCATTAATTTATATTTTTCTTATGCATATATGAGTTCTTTTATTGCTAATGCATCAATATTAACGTGAAACAGGGTTTGGTAACAAAATCTCAGCCCCAGTTTAAATTTCAGCTTAATTTCCTTTCTTTCCTTGGTGTCTCAACGCTCAAACTCTCAAATAGATTGCCTTTCAGGCTCTTGATTCTCAATCCCATTTTTTTTCCTTATAAAAACTTACAAAGAAAAAAAAAAGAAGAAAAACTATTCTTCTTCTTCCTTCCCAAACAACTTATTCCTATATCCATTTTAATAACTTGGTTAGGGATTTTAACTCTGCGGGTCCCGTTTATATATGGCACAACCAAAGATGGTGTAAATTGAATTTTCTAAAAATTTGTTTTCTAAAAATTTGACTTTTAAAATACAAGATCAGAATTCTGTTGCAGCAGGATAAAAAAGCGTTCGTGAGAGTCAATTATCAAGTTTAGAACTTCCTCACAAAGCAGTTGCGATATTAGAAAGACTTTGTGAATAATAGTTATTACGTTTAGAACTACTTTACAAAGCTTATACAATATTAGAAAGCTGATTATAACTGATATTGTGATTTCTATTGAATATAAAAGGATAGATTACAACTTGGTAAAATCATAATACAAAAAATCCAGAGTTCTAATGTTCTACAAAGATAAAGTTTATTTACGTTTAGAAATAAGAACTCATAACAACTTTGTATTTATGAAAAGATTAACAATTATGTAAACAGAATATAAACAAGCAACACATTAGAAAATAAAAAAACATAAATACAGAGATTTATAGTGGTTCGGCACTAACTCCTCTATATCCTCCACTATATTATCTCTTTTCAAGGGTAAGAGACAAATCAACTTTACAAGGAAATATATAAACACTTAGTTGTAACCTTTGTCCCATTAGATTTCTGAAGGTTCTAGTCAACCTCTACCCTTTCTATTTTGCAGAGAACAAAAAACTCACATCAAGACATTAAATCTCACATCAAGACATTAAATCTCACACAAGGAGAAGGTCGCTTGATAACCTTTTACACCATAGCTTTTCACCTAAGCTATGACACAAATGTTTTTTCGTTTAAAAAACCTCTAGTCTACAATAGATTACAGCAATCTATATAGAATAGAGAGAAACACACTTATAAGCATAAGAAGAACAGAAAACAGATTTTGAAAATAGAAAGAAAGTTCAGAACTGTTCTTTAGAAAAAATTGTTACCAAATTTCTTTTCTCTTGAAAAATATCTTTTGAAGAAAATAAATGGAAAGAAATGAAGAGGGTTGAAGAGAGAGCTTGAGAGATTTGAAACTTTGAACAATGAACTCTTACTCTTACAAAACCACTTATTTTCAAAAGAGGAAAATGTTTTTATAAGAGGAATGAAAATCCGGTTATAAAAGATGTTGAGATTCCGCTTTAATGAGTATTTCTGACTTTCCAAAAATAAATAGATAGTGCATAGATATCTTTTACAGAAACTCATTTATTAGTTACCAAAAATTATTTTTGCCAAAATTTTTTTCATTAAGGTAAGCAGAATTAAAAAAGCAAAGATTTAGGCTTTTCCTTTTAAGGCAATTTTTGAAAATATCCCAAAAATGATTTTTTTAAGAGAGATAAAAAATATGTTGTGCTTATAAGGGAATTTTCTCTCTATCCTACATTAATTTTCTAACATTTAATAAGATACTAACCACTAAAAGATCTTCACTAATCTTTGTGATCTTCAAAAAATCTTAGATTGTAGGAGCTTGATTCCTTTAGACATTAAAAATCTGCATAAAATAACTTTAGAATATATAAGAATATTAAATTTATTTATTTTACATAATCATTAAAATCTTAGGATAAAATTGACCTTGAGCCAACAATCTCCCATTTTTTGATGATGACAAAACCAAAAAATTTATCAAGCAAAAGACACATGCTCCCCCTAAGTTTATGCATGTCAACAAAATACAACTTCTAAATATAATAGATTTATCATGAAATAAGATTAGAACTGTAATATCCTCAACTTTGATAGTTTTTGCTATTCTAGCTTTTTCGATGAATTCGGTTATCCGAATGAAAGGAAAACCTAGAATAATGGGAAACATTATATATTGAGGATGTGAATATTAATTAAATGGTAATTAATGTGATTACAAATCAATTTGAAAGATTAAAGGAAATCAAAAATGAGTTAAATAGAAATGACTTTTCGGTAAAGCACGATTTTACCCGAAAAGCCTGAAAAACGGTAATTTCAGTATGAATTTTCTTAAGTGGGGTTTAAAATATTAAATAAACTTGGTTGATACCTAATAGTTGATACCTAATAGGAACTAAAGTAAAGTTATTAAAAAAAGATTAGAGTGCCCAGATGAAGGAAACAAAAGGGAGGATTATAGTGCAATTCAATTTTCATTTAAAGGACATGGAAGGAATTTTTAATAATGTTTATTATATATTTTTATGAAGAGGTGGAGATAAACCACGCCATTTCCACCCATTTTTGCAGTCCAAGTCAGTCAAGAAGAGAGGAGGAGGATTTTGATTAAAAACCAAGCAAAAAGGAGTTGAAAATCAAGAAATTTTCAAATAATTCTTAAGAAAAGGTTAGTTATCTTCACTTCCTCCTTCTTTTCTATGGATTAGTTTTTGAATTTCATGAACTTTGAAGTGAGGTGCTTGCTTGTTCACTCTGATTTGGTGAAGATGAAGTGATTAGAATTGATTTTAAGGTGATTTAAGATGATTGAAATTAGTTATGCATGAATTCAAAGTCTTCAAAGTCTAATTGCATAATTCACCAAGATGGAATTGATGTTGAGTTTTGTAATTGAATATTTCATGAACTAGGGGATTCTGATATATCTTATATTAATGATGTTATTTTAAGTAATAGAAGGAGTTGGATTGCATGAATTTGTGATGAAAGTGAGTTGAGAATGCTTAAGCAAACATATCATTGTTGGACTTGTTACATTTGGGCTGCCTGAAATTCAGCTTCTGTAATTGATCTCTTTGACTAAGCAAATGAACTTCAAAATTCATGAAATTTTAATGAAATTTTATATGGAGATAGGCTGAGATGTTGGGTAGGTCACGTTAAAAGGGAAAGGCCATTGGATAAAAGGAAATGGAGTTATAATTAAATCAATGTAGGCTGCTCAGCATGAGAAAAATTGAAATTCAGATTCTATAATTATGTCATTTGAAAATGCTAAGGAGCTTTAAAAATTATGAAATTTTACAGGGTAGTACTCTAAGATGTTGGAAACATGCTGTAAAAATTTCACGGCAAATGAATATGAGGAATTCAAGATATAGTCAATGGAATGCAAGCTACTCAAATGCTGAAATTTTGCATTACATAAACATTTAATGAATTTAGCATGCTAGCATGCCCATTGACTTCTAAGTTGTTTTTAATTGTTATTATTATGTTTCTAGGATTGTGGTTATCTAGGATGTGGTTAAGTGTTGGATATGAAGTGTTTCATGCTTAAACTAAGGTCATATGACACTTGGACAAGCATAGTGAAAATAAAAGAAAAAGCATGACACTACATTCTAATGCTTAATTTGCATTCCTATAGAAGTGAATGTGTGTTCATTGTGTAGTATGAAGTTAATGTGAGTATTAATCTCATGCTACAGCTTCTGAGAGAAAGGGAGTTGAGGAGCTAGTGGTTGCTACAGGAAAAAGGCTAGGGGAGCCTTCTAGATCAGGTTAGTGTATTATTCCTTTCCTACTTTTATGTAAACAAAATGAGATTGATTTTGCAAAATATTTTCAATGGATTTACTTTATGAATCGTAATTATAAAAAGTAATAATGATTTCATAATTTTTAAAGAACAAAGCCTATTTTGAAATCATACGACCTAATTACACATGCAAATAAATTTTATAATTCTTATACCTTGAAAGAGAAGGATGTTGGCCAATGGCTCACATTGATAACTTGTAGTATTGAGGGGTGGCCGTGACCTGAATGATTTTAGTAAGTGGTTTGCGAAAAGGAATGTTTGGGCACCAGTGATTCTTTTAATATTATTACATGAATGGAATGGTTTTAAAAAGTCTTATTATCAGCTAATATAGAACATGGTTATTACCGCCGAAAAATACTTCATTGTGTTGAAGTTGAATATTAACGAATCGATTTGAACATGGATATCATTCACTAGATGATATATGAATTGATATGAAATCTCGCCCTCCATGTTGAGGTTGTAGATTGCTGCCCCTTCTGTTGAAAATAATCATATCACAGATTGAGGTTGTAGATAGCAGGTCTAGATGTGCACATTAGACACTGATGGCCCTCGGAATTGACTCTATAAAAGCTGTAAAAACTACATTATGAATTTATGATTTAACTAGTATTGTTTTTGCTTATATCCTTTATCATGGTCGGTTTATGAATTATACTTCCTTATTGTTTTTATTCGTACACCACTAAGCAATATGCTTAGTTATAGTTGCTTTTATGCTATCGCAGGAAAAGGAAAGGAAAAAGAACTAGGAGAGGATCGTTTTTATTTGATGTAGATAGTATGCTACTGATGTTGCTATTGTATATTTGACTTCTTTTGGAGCATGTATGATGTATTAAACATTAACAGAACATCTATATATATTTGAGCAGATACATGTAAATTATGATTGTATGAATTTTTCTATTATGTATCTAAAAAAGGACTCCAGTATGAATTAAATCATCCATGGGCATAAATCATCCATGGGCTTATGGGTTATGGAACCATTTTATGTTTTTGATAATGTAATTGATGTGTAAGAAATCATATTGAGCTTAATGGAAGTTATGTTTCATATGTCTAGTAAAGGAAGGAAAAAGACATTTCTTTATAACAGGTGAAAGAACCAAAAGGAGTTTATATTTAATAACTAAAGTTACTTTTTTACAAGTTATGAATGAATGAATCAAAAGTTTTAAGTCCCTTGTAGTATACTTAGTAAGCATTTATAAGATACTTAGTAAGCATTTATAAGACTTAAGTGCTTATTAAGTATATTACGGGCGACATGTCATGTCTTACAGTAAGGTAAGGTGTGACAAGAACTTAATATAAACTCCCCCTAAATAAATGCAATTTAAGCCTAAGGGATTTAGAACATAATACAAATTTAGAAACTGATTTTAGAATTAGAACTGAGTTCTAAAGTCTAACAATCAGAGTCATTTCATAATACAAGCATATTCTGTTCACATAAAAAATAAGACATTAGAACAAAAACATCACAGATTAGAACATGATAAGAAAACAGAAATTAAGTAGTTAAACACTTAAACAAATATGTAGTGTTCTCCTTCAAGTACTCAAGCATCAAAAGTATATTGTGTTCTCCCCTTTTTTGTCATCAGAAAAGACGGTAAGCAAATCAAAATAGAAATAGAAACCAAAACACAAATAGTCTAAGTTATTTACAGAAACAAGAAATACACAGTGCAATAATTAAAAAACAAGTGTTCACAAAACACTAAAACACTCAGCAGGTTATCATAAATTCAAGTGAAATACATAATCAGAACTGGTTGGGAAGGGGTCACTAGTGTTCTGGTTCAGTTCTGGGCCTTTTAGAAATTCTGAGGTTTTGAGCATGTGAAGATTTAGCTGGATTCTTAGATCTTTTGGAAGAAGGATGTAGGGGAGGTTTTCTTCCCTAGACTTTGTGCTTCCCAGTAATATGCTTAACTTTTTGATGCTTTTAAGAAGAAGGAATGTAGGGCGTAACTTTAACTTTGATAGTAGCAAGCTTTCTCTCATTGATGTTCTTCATTTTTTTCATAGACTCAATGAGTGAGGATGCATTGTTTTTCCCAAAAAGTTTTGGATTTTGGAAAGAACCGAATCGAACGGGCTTAATTTATTTTATTTTAGAAATTGGTTTTCTTTTATTAAACCTGTCTAATCCTCGCAAAGTGGTTCTCTTATTTTGGTAAGAGTTTTATTAAATTTCGGAGTCGTTACCCTTTTAGAAAAAATTCTCGAATTAGTCGATTCCAAAGAATCGACTAATCTGGTTTTAAACCAAAGATAGGATCCGAAAATTATGTACGAACTAGGAAGGTGTTAGGCAACCATTTCGCTCGGTTAAACCAGCCTCCATGTTGTCCAAAGATTCACAATTATCAATAATGCAATTAACTAAAATTAAGATGTAAAATGATTTTCATGTAATTTTTAGAAAACATATCATTCATACAAGTTATTACAAACATAATATACATGAAATATAAAACATTCATGAAGAAATAGGAAGGAGAAAAGAGTACAAACCACTCCTAAACATACAATCTACCAATTATCCTCCAAATTTTCTAAACCCAATCTGTGACATCCTACTGAATCGAGTCATTGCATTTAGCGAGTCAAGTCGAGTCGGAACGAACCAGAACCCGGTTCAAGCATAAAAATGAAATAAATCAAAGACTTGGACTTAATTGAATGAAACATAAAGATGTAGACTCAATTGAAATAAAAGTATAAGGATTAGGACCTAACTGAAATAAAGTATAACGTTTAGGTATTAAATGGTAAAATATTGAAAATTTAGGTACTATTTGCTAATGTTTTAACATACTAGAAGATATATTTGGAGGTTACTCGAAAATTCCATTCACTTTACCTTCTCCATCTTCTCCTAAATCTTCCTCCATTTTCTACCTTATACCTTTCTCCTCTTCTCCTTAAAATCTTCCTCCATTTTCTACCTTAATATTCAAACCTTTTCAAGCTTTAATTCAACCTATAACTTCTATCCAACGTAAGTTGAAATTTCTTGAATTTCATAATTTTAGTGGGATTTTGGAGATTGATAAAATGATTATGTATAGAAGAGGTTGACTGAAGCTCAAAGTGAGAAGAAAAAGCCTTGGCACATGGTAAACCATCTGTAACTCTGTTTTCTCCTTATTGAAGGGAGAAACAATGGTTGTCTTTCCAATGTGAGCTATTGGCAATCTCGTGTTATTTACCGATGGAATTAGGAAGCGTTATAGGAGAGTTATGTGTTCCTTTATGTTTTATCTGCCCACGAGATTTGGAATCACCTAAATTGGACTTGTAAATTAAAAGATATGATCCAAATAGTACAAACTGTGCAGACTGGAAACCAAAAATCTGGGCGGACTAGAAGTTGCTAATTTAGCTCAATATTTGACTACTTTACCAACATATTTAAGAAATGTGATACAAGACATATTTGGACTTTAATGTGTTAGCTAACCATAGAATTTAGAATTACCTAAATTGGACTCATAAATTGAAAGATATGACCAAAATGGTACAAACTGTGCCGGCTGGAAACCAAAAGCTGGACAAATTCAAAGTTGCTAATTTAGCTCAATATTTGACTACTTTACCAACATATTTAAGAGATGTGATAGAAGGCATATTTGGAGCCTAATGTACCCTAATGTGTTAGCTAACCATAGAATTTAGAATCACCTAAATTGGCCTTATAAATTGAGAGATATGACCAAAATGGTACAAACTGTGCAGGCAGAAAACCAACAGCTGGGCAAACTGGAAGTTACTACTTTAATTTAGCTCAATATTTGACTACTTTACCAACATATTTTAGAGAGGTGGTAGAAGACATATTTGTACCCTAATGTGTTATCTAACCATATAATTTGGAATCACCTAAACTGGCCTTATAAATTGAGAGATATGACCAAAACGGTACAAACTGTGCAAACTAAAAACCAACAGCTTGGCAGACTAGAAGTTGCTACTTTAATTCAATATTTGACTACTTTCCCAACAATATTTCAGAGAGGTGGTAGAAGACATATTTGTACCCTAATGTGTTAGCTAACCATAGAATTTAGAATCACCTAAATTGGCCTTATAAATTGAGAGTTATGCTAGAATTTGTGAAACATGTACAGGCTGCCCTGGCAAATTTTAAGGCTATATTTGAAATGCTGTTGGAATGCATATGTAGATTCATTCAGCCTAAGATTAGTACTTAAATTAAAATAAAAAAATTTCCTTAATCTGAATGCTCTAAATTAAAATACATAAAGATTTGTAAGAGTTGTATCGCGGGTGCAACAGTTAGATTAATTTTATGCAAGTTCCTTTACAAGTTATCAATTGTTTGCGTTATTACTCACTTGATATTACTTGTAGTTGTCTATGAAATACTTTTAAAGCATGAAACAGGTTAGCGACGTATAGAATGAGACAGCATACAGGTAAACAGTATGGTTTATGCATTTTATGAATAATACAGATAATATGCTAATAATTACAGATAAACAGATAATAATATGCTCTACTGAGGTTAGGTAGAAACCACATAGATAAGGCTATGTCGCGACATAGGATAGTAGATCTGCGTCCCATACAGTTTGGTACTCAGGCTATAGGCCGTTGAGTGGATATGAATTATATACGGGTCATAGCAGCCTGACCATACAGTATTCATCTAGTTTCATACAGTCATTCTTATCACTTCGGTTTCACTGTAACCTTATGGAGCCATACAGTTAAAAAATTGTGTTATTTATAAATTATACGATGTTTAATAAAAATTGCATAATTCATATAGCATAATGAACAGCAGGTAAGACCATAAAAGTATAATGATATGTGTGCTTACATGCTTATTTATTTAATTCTTATTAAGTTGAGATATCCACTGAGCTTTATAGTGAGTTATTTGTTTTAACTCGCAGGTTTTGGGTCTGGACCATAGAGAGTCATCTTTACAACTGCTACAGTTTACAACTGCTGCAGTTTCATCTTTCTGAAGACCCAGGTTTTCAGAGGTAACTAACCTCATTTGTGATATTTAGTTCGTGCTTGGCATGTACGGGCACATAGTCATGTACAGGGCACATAGTTAGGCCCATTTTATTTTGGAAAATAGTGTAATGTCTTGTATATATTAAATAAATGTCTGTATATAAATGATGTATAAAGCAGCAACATGATATAATATTTAGCATATAGGATGATATCAGCATGACAGGATATAGGTTCAACTAGATTGTAGCGTCTCGGCTCGGTTCATTTGGGTTCACGGGTGGACCGTAAAGGGATGTTACACAATCTATTATCAAAAACAAGCAATAATAGGAATCCTTATGGACCTTTTACATTGAGCTTAACATAATGAATAAAACATTAATTCAAACATAAAGAATAACTGTGGGTCCCGTATATGAATGGCACAACCCAAGAGGGGGGGTGAATTGGGTTTTCTAAAAACTAAAATAAATTTTAGAAATTCTAAACAAAATAATTCTAAGTGCAGCGAAAAACACACAGAACTTTGTGAGAATTAGAATATGGATTAGAATCACCTCACAATGTCTAATTACCAAAAGATTAGGAAAGTCTATGCAAAGTGCAGCTATGATAGAACAAGCTTTATTACTGAACTTATTACAACTATCAGAGCTTCTTTATGAAGCGGAAAAGCTATTGAAAATGTAAAACTTCCTCATAAAGTTTGAGGAATCATATAAAGCTATTGTGAAAGACAAGTTATTTAAATTCAGAACTTCTTCCACAGAAGGCCTTAATCAAATATCAGAATGCCTTTATGATGGAAAAGCTATCAGGATTTTAAACATCCTCATAAATTTTAGAAAATTAATTAGAAACCCTGTAACATCCCTTCCCGGTCACCCGGTAAACCCGAATAAACG